CTCAAATGAGGCTAGGAGTTCAGTGAGTTGTCTACGAGCACGGGACACTTACTGAACAAGCATTGTCAATTCGGTCAAATTTTGTTAGTTCCTGTCACGCGCGGCATCGCACCATGTGTTGTCGCCTTTTTGCACAGTGGGGGCCGTTTCCGGTTTGTTTTGGAGTGTTTTCCTTCTTGAGGTTGTTTACTGAATTATCACTGGGGTTAAAGATTCTTCAAAAGACACCAAGTGTAACAAAGTAGAGCGCTTGATTCGGGTCACAATACATATTCTTTTATATATGGCTCTTTGATTGGAACTCCACTGACGAGAAATACGTTCTTCTCAGAGTTGACTCCTATTTCGATGACCTAGGTTATTTCGAGGGATATTTCTAGCCCCCAAGTGTTGGACCATTTCCCCAATGGTTTCAGTGGAAGCTGTATAGTATGCGGCTCATTAAAGGCGAACAATTTGACAACGTATTCATCAAAATCTTTAAAGGGCCTGGACGCGTGCCTGAGGCACTCCACTGAATGTTTCATACGGCTTTGAATGAACGTCGTCGTTCTCGAATAGAATTGTAAATTTCATAGGAAAGATTTTCTGTTTTATACAGTAACAGATTTTCTGTTTTATACAGTAATTCTTATTTTTGGGTTTTTGTAAATTGTTATCTATACCAGTTTAGCGGCGCACGCATTCGCGTGCATCACACGGGACTGCACTGAAAGGAAACAGGGCCATTGATATTTTTATAGTTCACCGTGGGAAACTCCGCAAATCCTTGGCGCCCACAAATAGCATTTGGCCCCATTCCTTCGCCAACCTTTACCCACTTTCCCAGCCTCTGGCTCTCTTCAACCTCTGTAATATCACGTGACAAACACGTCTACTTCAACGTACGCTCAACCCACAAATAGCGGTTGACCTCCCTTCCGTTGACAAACTCAATAAACTCCGCCCACTTTGGTCATGCCCCGCCCCCCGACGACAGCTGACCTCCACTCCTCCACCCACCTCTATCCACCTTTTTCCCGGCCTCCGGGACTTCTTGGAGCCGAGTTATGAATTTTCGTCGCAAACTCCGCCCACTTTGGTCAAGCCCCGCCCCCTTGACGGAGAACGCCCCGCCCACCGGGGTGGGTCTCCCTAATTCGATGTGACTTACCAATGCACACCTTTACCCACTTTTTGGCCCAGTTTCGAGGTCGTTTTGTCACTGAAATTGAAATCTTGGTCTCAGTACAGTTCATTTCGATGCACGCCACGCCCACTGTGGGCGGGGCTCCGCTTAGCTGATGTG